TGTGGACTGAGATCTCTGGCCTTACCGGCCGCTCTTCGCCGCTTTTCCCACCGCGCTGTTGCTGTTGCTGCTGCTGGGCTGTGGCGGTGCTGCCGCTGCCGCCCTTTCTCCCTCCTTTTCCTCGTTCTGTCGCCACCGCGTGCCCAGCGGCGGGGAGGTGGGGCCGCCGCGGGGGTCCTCAGGCGGTGGTGGGCGTTGTGGGGCGAGGGGTCCTCCCTGTCCCGCTCCCGGTGTTGGGTCCGTCCCCTCACGGCTGACCCGGGCCGAGCTGTGCGGGGTTGGGCCCCGTGGCCTCCCCGGGGTGCGGTCCGTGGCGTTGGTAACGGCGGCGGGTGGGGGCGGCAGGGTGTGAGGAGGAGAGCGGGAAGGGAATTTGCTGAAGAAGAGACAAAAAGATGCTCTGGCGGATGAGGAGTGAAGGGCCTGGGAGCACTCCTTGGTGTGGCTGTCCAGGCGAGCCGCCTAATCCAGCGTTCCTCTCCCTGACAGGTTGTCTATCAAGTTCCTCTAAAGGAAAATCATGTCTTGAAGAGAAATGTGGATCAACAGCTAAGAATTAAGATTATATATGACAGAAGTGTTGAGGAGTGAGTATAATGTTGTGGCAACTTTTTTTTTTTTTTCCTCTGTATCTGAGAATAGAAATCTTGTTAACTAAAGCTTGTTTGTTTTGGTTTGGTTTTAAAATATAGTTTACTCCCTGAGAAAAGACACCTTATAAAGGTATGTCACATTTACTTTTTGTTTGTGCGTATTTTATTACGTTGCTGAAGTTACGTTTAAGGCCATTTTAATTAAAAGCTTTGAATACCATCACTTTCATATCCTCTAGTCCAGGAAACCAAAGCTTTGTGTAAGGATTATGTCTCCATTCCAAATAATTAGTGTTCCGTTGAATGTTGTTTTACAGGTATTTACTATATCTCAAGGTGCAAAGGTTTCAGTGAGCAATATGTATATAGTTTTTAAAGCCTCTTTGAAGCTGTACATTCAAATTAATACTGACTCCCTTCTCATTTTCTTATTCAAACAAAATATGGGAATACTGAAACAAAATGTTTGCTAAGTATACTGATAACAGTTGAACTGCTTAGGTCTGGATTTTTGCTGCTCTGCTATACCACAACATCTAGCAAGTTTCATGTAACCTTGTAATTAATGCTTTTAAGTTGAGTTATGTCTGCACTGCTACTGGGTGACTTATTTTTGTTCTATTCAGAACAAACTTTTTCCACAAGCTATATCTTATTTGGAGAAGACATTTCAAGTGCGCAAATCCACGGGTACTATATTACTAAGCAGGTATGTGAAAGTTTTGTTGAAAATCGCTTGCTATATTTGATATTTAACATTGCATTGTATAGCCTTTAAAATAGAATAAGAGTGTAAGAAATGCCTTCCTGAACCAGACCAACCTGACCCAGTGGTGGGAGCAGACACAGATCTGCCAGCCTTCCACGATCAACATCTACATTTGTTGCATCAGAGATGATAAGGGTATGCATGCTGCCTGTTTCCTTTTATATGTGCCACCATTTATGAACCTGCTCCTAATCTCTCTTTGAACCTGTGGATACTCCACTGATGACTAAAAGCATTATATCTTCAGAGCAGGGTAAGTAACAATTCTCATGGTGGAAGTTACATTAAATCCTGTACTGCAGTGTTGCTGGGTGATGTAAAACTATTCTACAGCTTGTTTTTAGTAATAAATCAGTGCTGACTGTCTTTTGTGTTTGCTTGAAGGCAGTGTGCAACAAACCAATATTTAAGGAGAAAAGCTGACCCTCACAGATACTGCCGAGGAGCCTGCGCAGACTATACAAGATGTGGGCCAGTTGTAGTTCCTGAAAAACATCTCCAGGTAAGTCAAGCCATCCGAGTGCTTCTTAACCTTTGAAACCTTTGTGGAAATTAGTAAAAAAGTTAGTAACATAATGTCACTCTCTGTGCATAAGTGACTGTTTGCAGGAGATCACTAAGCTTGAGTGGCAGAATAGAACAATTTGAGTTAGTGGGAGTTTTAGTTTATGCTGTTGAACCAAAAGTCAAGTAAAACTCTACTGTTCTCTAAGCCTGTCCTATAACCAACTGTGAAGAGAGGATGAGATTCAAAGCTTGTTAAATTCCTAATAATCACTTCCTTATTCACCTTGGTCGATGAGTCAGATTTTCACAGAATTAATGTTTTCATTTTCTGAAGACCTTATTTGAAGCTGTTATCCACTGAACTAGGAGCAAGGTGCAGAAAATTCTTCTAACTTGTGTATGTGCATGAATTTGTGATTCAACTACAGTATGTGATCAGTATGTGATTTCTTTCTCTTGAAGTTTCAAGCACAGTATTAAAAATGTACCAAATTACATGTGAAATGCAATTGCTACTTACATATATTATTTCTGTAAGCCAAAAATTTTTTTAATATGTAGGAAATAAATGGTTCTAATTTTGGGATATCTGGCTTGGCAGGCCCTTTTTTTCAAAAGCTGTCACTTCCTGGTGTCTAGCAAATCTTGGCTCTTTTTTTACTGTCTTCCGGGAGTACCCCTTATGGGAGTTTTCTCATCTGTCACTGTTTTACAATGGGATTTATTCTTGGCTTCCAGCTAATTGAATTGTCATGCAAAATTTCTGTTACAGCTAATGTATTTTAATTTTTCCATTTGAACATTGTCAAAGCAATGCAGGGTGTGCAATGAGAATGAATGGCACTGTGGACCCACTGGCATACCTGACCAAGAAGGGGTTCGAGATGCTGACTTTGTACTCTACGTTAGTGCTCTCACTACTGAAAGGTGTGGCCATGAAAATATCATTGCTTATGCAGCCTACTGCCAACTGGAAGCTGAAATGGACAGGTAAGTATTCCTTTTGTTACAAACTCTTTGTTTTAATTAAGCTTCCAAGGTTTTTTTAATTGTTTAGATGGGGACTTTAATGGTTTGCCTGTGTTACTTAATAGAGAAAAGGAGAAGTCATTATTGAAATAAACAAGCACTATAGTTATGTAAAACCACACAACAGTCAAATACTGCTTAACTTGCAAAGCTGAGACATTTAAGTCAAAGCTAATCCTCCACTATTATTGTTAAACATTATTTCAAGATCCTGTTTCCCTTGAAGCCAATGTCATGCTTTCACAAATTTAAAGGAGAATGCAAATATGCCCTAATTATGTGGCTCTTTTTTTCTAGTTCAGTTGTGGTCATTGTAACAGGGCTTTGTACCTCTGTAGTCTCTTATCTGAAATTCAGATCTCTTACACTGTTGTCACTAACACCTGTGCAGAATACCGAATACAGAGATTGATCCTGTCCCTTCCCTCCCCTTTTCAACAGTAAACTAGTCACTGTATTGTTAACACACTATATAAATGACTGGGGAAGTTGTTTAGAAGGACTTATTTTACATTAGTCTTAATTTTCTTTTAAATATTCTACCTCTTCAAGTGAACATGATTTGAATTTGGTAGTATTTTACTAGTAACAATTTAATTTTAAACTGTCTTCCAGGCCAATAGCAGGATATGCTAACTTGTGTCCAAATATGATTTCAACACAAGCTCAGGAGTTTGTTGGCATGTTGTCTACAGTGAAACATGAGATCATCCACGCACTGGTAAGGGTTGATGCATAAAATGCATTTCTGTGAAATTTGTGCCTGCTTTCTCATATACCTCCAGCTTGTTGCGAGAGAAGGAAGGATGTTTGGTCGAGGAAAGCTCTTGCTTTGCCTCCTTCTTTGTGACTTAATTGCCTTGAAATGTGATACTTCGTGTATCTGTGGTGGGTGTGGTAATTATTTCATGGCATTTGACTTTGTGAATGTCTTACCAAAGGTTTCTGTGTGCTTGGTTTTTAACTTGAAGGGTTTCTCTGCTGGACTGTTTGCATTTTATCGTGATGATGATGGAAAACCTTTGACAACAAGATATGCAGATGGACTCCCTCCTTTTAATGAAAGGTATTTCATTTGTTTGGACCTCTCGCTCTTCCCACTGAAAGATGTTTTCACGTTGCCTTTTTGGGATGTATTTTTGCCTGTCAGAAATCCAGCTTGATTCCATTATTAGAATGCTTTGCCTTTATTATGTTCAAACATTGGTGTGTGGTTTTTAGTCTTTTTTTACACTGGTATTAAGCACTTACATAATACACATACATTATACACATATATAACAAACCAAGACTTCATTTATCAAGAGGCTTCAAGTTAAGCATTAAAATTTCCCATGCTTCAATTTCAGTGCTTGCTGAACACCTTACTAAACAGATACTTGTATTTTCTGTAGCCTGTCTAATGTCAGTGCAGTTCATTTTTAAGACATATATCGTGCAAGGTTTATAGTTATGCAGATATGTTTTTAATAATCTTACTTTGGCTTATTAAATCAGAGTTGTGTATATAATGAATGCATAACTTGCAAAGGAGTAATGTTGCATAATTTATACTTCAGAAAGCATGAGGAATTATAGAGATTATTCATGGTTCTGTTTTTTTACAGAGATAAATCTTTGCACAGTAGCATGTATTTGTGGGAAAGATTTGTAACCAAAACATTCTTCTTACAGTCTAGGTTTGTATCAGTGGAGCAGTAAAGTCGTTCATAAAGCAGTGAGGTTATGGGACATACGTGGTGGCAAAATGCTGCACCATGCTGTTTATCTTCTGATAACACCTCGTGTAGTTGTAAGTATGGATTAACTTAAACTTTTAAACCTTGTATGCCAAGATTACTACCATATTGTCGAGTCATAAATATTGTTTTATTCTTTAAGAAGTAATAACCCAACATTGAATACTCTTTTCCTGAAATTATGGCCCTAAGACTACATGATTAAGGCTATAACTATTTGAAAGGGTGTATCCAAAGTAAAGTGGAAAATAGTTGACCGACAGTATGAAGTAAATTGACATAGTAAGAGACAATGAAGGGACTGACTGGCAAGTAATTTATAAAAGGTTAAACAAAACTGCTGTCGAATAGATTCTTTAATCCTACTCTTTAGATGTTTTCCTACAAATGTAGACACGTAGTATTTCTGTTGCCTTAACAGATAGTGTCACTGCTTTTCTCATTTATACATTAATCTTTTTTTCTGCTTTTCTCTTTAAAAGCATTATTTTAATCTTTTTCTAATTTTATTGGTTACAAAATAATGCAGTTAACACTTTTTGTCATGTTTAAAAAGAAATTCCTCAAGTATTCTTGGAAGTACTTCTTGCTTCCCACACCTCTGACTCTCCCTCCCACCCCCAACAGAACATATGCTTAAGTGTAATAAATTGGTATTGGAATAAGTTGCAGTGTTAATCATACTTGGCTGCAAATAATGTTTTTGTTTGCTATATATACTATGTTAGATTTAAAACAAACTTGGTTTAATTAGCCCTGTTTTGAAAATTGGCCATGCTGTTCAGAGCATTGAAGATGCTCCTGGGTAGTGCCACCCTGGCAAAAGCTGGGGTCCTGGCTGTGAGACCGCAGCATTGTTCTGATGCCTCTTCAGATTTTTAAATATTTTGCGTAAAATGCTTCCCCATTTAAATTAGTTGACACGTACAGCTTCCTAATAGAGAAGTGTGTTTTCTCTGAAGTGTTTCACATAAGCAGGGTTGTAGTGTTCCTACATTGTTTGGTTTTTTTTTTTGTTGTGGTATTTTAATATGGTGTTTAGTGTGTGCATGCTATTCTTGGCTAATTCTGTTGCTGTTTTATTCTTGTAATCTTCCATTGTTTATTTCCAGGTGATAAGTAGACAGATTGTTATGCTTGATGTTCAGGTACTTGCTGGCTTTGCCTCTCGGTAGAAGTGGTTTACATTCGGAGGAAAACAAGATGGTAGAAAAAGAAATGCTGAAATACTTTAAAAAATAATTCTAGAATATTAGGACCACTTCTGGGTATCTGCTAAATGTTTTGAGAGTTGCATTGAAATGTTCTCTTCTTAGGAGGAAGCTCGAAAACATTTTAATTGTCCAATTCTAGAGGGAATGGAGCTTGAAAATCAAGGTGGCATGGGTACTGAGCTCAATCACTGGGAGAAAAGACTGTTGGAGGTTAGTGCTGATGTTAGGAATGGAGGGGGATGTGGGAATGTCTGCTCTGCCCACCTTTATTTTTAGGTACCTACTGGAGCCTTGAAAATGCAGGTGTGTCAAACCTCACTGAAATATGTAACAAACAGTACTAAACTACAAGTACTTAAATGTCCAATTTCTAGATAAATTTATGTTTTTACATTATTGCTAAGTCTCAGAATATGAGTTTGAGATGATAAACTGATTACTAAAAAACTAAATGTCTCTTGTCTGCCGTTTACCCTTTTGAGATGGTATGTTCCCTTTTTAGAGGAAAGGGGGTATTCCTTTGAGTCGATTCAACTCTGTCACCCTCTGCTTCTTAAACATCAAATATTTGATCAGTCTGTCTATTAATCATCTTGACTTCATCTTTATTCATGTGCCCTGGGATTAGCTTTTGTCATCTCTACTCCAGAGTAGAATAGAACCTCATCTGATCAAGGAAATGCTTATTTCCCTCCTGACACTTAAGTTTATTTTTATTTGTGACTTTGCATTCTGTAATGTTTTTGGCAGATATACCTTCTAGTTGCTCTTGTATGCAATGTGGTAAACAAGAAGGGAAATGCTTCGGGACAGGCCTTTTTGTGGAAGTAATCTTGGAAAATACATATTTCTTGAGACTGAAATTGTTAGCTTTTCCAGCTTTTCAGTAACCTTTGGTGTGGAATAGTACTTTTAAACCAAGTGGGAAAACTGTGACTAGAATGAGGATAATTGTAAGGACTGAATGGGATTAACAAAAAGCAGATTATTACTGGTCTCCTTTCCACTTTTCTGGAGAAAGTTTGTATCTGTAGTTTGCTTTTGGTCTTGATCCAACTCAAGTATCGTAGAGATAGCAAATTTGGTGCTAAAGTTTGCTGGTGGTAATTCCACCTAACGACCATAGTGGAGAGGGAAGGCTGAAAAACTACATGTTTTGAAGAAATAATAGAAATGAGATTAAGTTCAGCAATAGAAATCCTAGAGTTGTGTACTTAAGGGTGAGTGAGTTTTGCTGTAAGCCTGAAGTTTTTCAGGTGGAAATGACTGATCAGGAAAAAGACATAGGTAGGTGTTACAATTGCCAGTTATAAGATGATTAGAACATTGCAGTTCCTCTTTTGAGGATGGTATGAACTTGCTTATTTGCAAACGAGATAGGAAATTCTACTGCCACACTAATAAAGTTTCCTTTGGAGTGCTATGTTCCTTTAGTCATGTGCCCTGTGTACCTTGCTCCCAAAAAAGACTACTAGAAATTCTAGGAAAACTAAAAACCAGTCTTTCACAAGAAAATTAGATGAGCTTGGCTTTCATCTTACCAAAAGGAGAGAGATGTGCGATTGTTACTGATAAATACACTAGAAGAAGGAAGAGTTTTATTTTACCTAAATAAAAATGACTACACTTTAGTCATGAATAAGGTTTAGCTGGAATTTGGAATGAGATTTCTGACTTCTAGAATTATGAAGCTTTGTAGGATGGTGTGGGGAAGGGAGTTGCACTTGTGATTCATTTTATGAAAGGGGGGTTAATTGGGTTTTGGTTGTTAATAGTAAGAAGGGACTGGAAATAAAATGCTTTTTTCATAGGAAGCATTTTCTTACAATAATGATTTTCAGTGGATTCCTAATAATAACTAATAACTTTCAGAATGAAGCAATGACTGGATCCCATACACAGAATCGAGTCTTTTCCAGGATCACCTTAGCATTAATGGAAGACACTGGGTAAGAATTAATAAGAATGGGGTTTTTTTGGTTCATGTTTGATTTTCATTGTACTTGATTTTAGTTGGAATTGATGCACTTGTGCTTACCCACCTGCAACACAGTAGATAATCAGCATAAATAGCATTACATTAGTCAAGGAGTTATATCTAGCATGTTAATTTTTTCATGTATTCAAAAGTCCATTCGTTTTTAGTCTAGCCTTAAAAAAATGCAATGCATGGTATTATTTGTAGTGTCTGTTTATTTTAGTCTGTTTTCTCTCAGGTGCATACAGTACATACTGATTATTTTTCAGGTGTTCTTGCAGACAGAGAGCATACATTATCTGAAATTTCATCTTTATGCATTGTTCCTTTGCAGATTATGATGCATTGCTGTGGAACAAATAAGCAATAAAATTTTCTTTTAGTCCATTGTGACTTGAAAAATAGTGAAATTGTAATATATCATTATAGGCAGAAAGGAATGCAGTTTCCCTTTTTTGTCATTTGAAAACCTTAAGGCATAGTATGAAGTTCTTTGAACTGCTGTTTTATTAATCAGAACAGTAATTTTTGAAGTAACAATATTCTCATTTCAAAATACTTTTATAGCTGGTATAAAGCAAATTACAGCATGGCAGAGAAATTAGATTGGGGACGCAATAAAGGCTGTGACTTTGTAATGAAGAGCTGCAAATTCTGGATCGACCAAAAGAGACAAAAGTAAGAATACAGTCTTTTTTTAAAAAAATGAGGAAACCCTCATGCTTGTTTACATTTGTCCTTCACATGCAACTCAGTAAAAAGAAGTAGAGGTAGATAGATCAACAAAAAATGCCATCCTAGTACCGTCAGAATGTACCCAGGTAGGAGCACACCAAATGTATTCATGAAATGGTTTGGGTTGGAAGAAACCTTAAAGATCATCTAGTTCCAACCCCCCTGGCATGGGCAGGGACACCTTCCACTAGCCCAGGTTGCTCAGAGCCCCGTCCAACCTGGCCTTGAACACTGCCAGGGAGGGGGCAGCCACAGCTTCTCTGGGCAACCTGTGCCGGTGCTTTGCCACCCTCACAGGAAAGAATTTCCTCCTTATGTCTAATGTAAATCTCCCCTCTTTCAGTTTAAAATTGTTACCCTTCTTCCTATCTCTACACCCCCTGATAAAGGGTCCCTCCCCATTTTTCCTGTAGCCCCTTGAAGTACTGGAAGGCCGGTACAAGGTCTCCCCAGAGCCTTCTCATCTCCAGGCTGAACACCCCCAAATCTCTCAGCCTGTCCTCACAAGGGGGTGCTCCAGCCCCCTGAGCATCTTTGTGGCCTCCTTTGGACCCGCTCAAGCAGGTCCGTGTCCTTCTGATGCTGGTGCCCCCAGAGCTGGACACAGCACTGCAGGGGGGTCTCATGAGAGGGGAGTAGAGGGGACAATCCCCTCCCTCAACCTGCTGGCCAACTTGATGCAGCCTAGGACACATTTTGGCTTTCTGGGCTGTGAGTGCACTTTGCTGGCTCACAGTCACTTTTCCATCTATTGATACCCCCAAGTCCTTCTGCACATGGCTGCTCTCAATCCACTCATGGCCCAGCCTGGATTTGTGCTTGGGATTGCCCTGACCCATGGGCAGAAACTTGCACTTGACATTGTTGAATTTCATGAGGCTTGTACTCAAGTTAGAGTGCAAATTAAGACTTGTATATTAAGAGCAGAAGCATCCCACCCCAATAAATACTTAAAATACTAAATACTAAACATTTTAGGATGTAGAATGCATTTACACTATGAGGGCTATGCTTTAGAGAGGAGGGACTTAAAGCATTTGCTTTCTTATTTTGTCCCTTTTAATTGGAAATGCAGCCCGTGTCATTTTGCATTACTGGATTGTACTTAAAGCAACAGAAGGAGATGGTAGGCATCTTCAGAGCATTCCTTGTGTGTTTCTACAATACTCATGTATTTCTGCAACACAGCTGCATAGTGGGCCTGTTTGTGTTTTTTTCTTTAAAGTTTACAAATCAATGTCATTAAAACTAAACAGGTGAGTGCATTGTAACTTTACTGGCTGGTGTTTTGGTTTAAGCCCAGAGGGTGACTGAACATCATACAGCTGCTTGCTCACTCCTTCCCCTTCATCGATGGGAAAGATAAAATAAAAGGCTTGGGAATTAAGATAAGGACAGGGAGGGGTGCCTTGCCCATTACAGTCATGGGCAAAAGACAGACTCAGGGGAAGAAAAAGAACATCAGTTTAATTTGAACACCATCACTAATTTACCAGTCAAACAGAATAGGACAGTGAGAAATACAACCACATCTTTAAAACACCTTCCCCCTACCCCTCCCTTCTTCCTGGGTTTAACTTTACTCCCACTTCCTCTACCTCCTACCCTCCAGCAGCATAGCGGGGCAGGCATGGGAGTTGCAGTCAGTTCCTCACCTGTTGTTTCTGCTCCTCCTTCCTCCTCAGGGGGAGGAATCTTCAAACTACTCCCCTGCTCCAGTGTGGGGTCCCTTTCATGGGAGACAATCTTCCACAAACTGTTCCCATGTGAATCCTTCCCACGGGCTGCAGCTCTTCATGAGCTGCTCCAGTGGGTCCCTTCTGTGGGCTGCAGTCCTCCCAGCAACAGACTGTTCCAGCGTGGGCTTCCCATGGGCTTACAGCCTCCTTCAGGCATCCACCCGCTCTGGTGTGGGGTCCTCCCTGGGCTGCAGGTGGGCATCTGCTCCACCGTTGACCACAGGCCCCAGGAGAATCTCTGCTCCAGCACATCTCCCCCTCTTCCTCCTTTCTTCCTCTCTTGGTGTTTGCATAGGTATTCCCCTCACTACTCCCTCCCCCCAGGTTCCCCTCCTTAGTTATCATTGAGGTGCATCTACCCTCGCTAATTGGCTTGGCCTTGGCCAGAGGCAGGTCTGACTTGTTGCTGAGGGAGCTTCGAGAAGCTTTCCACAGGACCCACATCTGTAGTCCCTCTCCTGCTACCGAAACCCTGCCACACACAAACCCAACACAGCTGGCTTGATATTCTTTAAATTAGAAAGGTCATAATCAGACAAATAACAATAATTAGCCTCCAGAGAAGAAATTGGTGCTTCTTTGTGTGATTGACTGAGTGTGGGGGGAAAGTGAGAACAGACAGTCTTGACAGACTGCTTAGTTAAATTATGAAAAGCAGTTAAAGTGATATAACGTGATTTGTATTTTTGTTGGGTTTTTTTTGAGGAGGCAATTAATCAGTCCATACTGTGACACTTTGAGGAGTAATCCCTTGCAGTTAACCTGCAGGCAGGACCAAAGAGCAGTAGCAGTGTGCAACTTGCAGAAGTTTCCAAAGGAGTTACCTCAGGAATATCAGGTATAATGGATTTTACTTAACCAAATAACCAAGTGTTTTCAGTCTTGTACTTTGCATCCAGGTGATTATATTTGTTTCATTTTTTTCTTCTGAACTAGTAGATACGAGTAGATACTGTGAAAGATGTCTGCTTAGTTTATTATGAGGAGTCTGGAGGCTGAAAAAAAGCTTTGTGATCTTAATAAAGCAATATGGATGTTACTTGGCTTACTTGGCTATCTAATCGAATATCAGATGGAAACATAGCTGTATAACAGAAATCCCCCAGAATGTTTTGTCTGAGGTATTTTTTCCGCCAGACTTCTGCCTTGTGTCACTGCACACTAAGCAGTTTGTTCTGTTTCATCCCAGAGAATGCTACAGTTTCAAAGTGGGGGCAGGGGCAGGGCTGGGGAGCGATGCATGCAAATGTGAATCTCTCTACATTATTTATTCTTAAGTATTCTTAAATACTTTACTTATTCTTAAATACTTCTGGCTCATCTGGTTCATGGGTAGTGTAAGTTGCTGTTAATAGCATTCCTGATTAGTAATAGCAGCTGTAGTGATTGGTTCTATTTAAAAACTGGTTGTACGCTTGTCCTTGCACAAACTGTCTCATGACCTGTTTTGTTTTGCAGTATTTTGATAATCTTAATGGAGTACCAGTGGAAGAATTGCCTTATTATGGTGGCTCAGTAGAAATTGCTGACTATTGTCCCTTTAGTCAAGAATTCAGTTGGCATTTAAGTGGTGAATTTCAACGCAGCTCAGACTGTAGAATAATTGAAAACCAACCAGGTCAGTTTTCAGGACTTCAGTGTGGTGTTTAAGACCTGACATTTGTTAATCTGGAATGGGCTTGCTGTGCATCCAAACTAATTGGATGTGAAATTGGTTTTATACTTCTGGCTGTGTAAAAGCTGGTCTGGGGTCTACCTTGTACACCCAGGAAGCACACATGTCTAATACAAGAATTGCATAAGTATTGAACAGAAATTAACCCCAAATGATCCAAATATAAGACAAAGGGTGGGGTTGAGGGTTGGTTGGTTGTTTTTTGAGTCTTTGAAAAAGAATTCCGCTTTCCATCTTTGTAGATTTTTGTTGTTGTTGTTGTTCAAGATAAGGAGCTTTGCAAATTACCAGAACATGGGCTCATCTCCTAGGGTAGTGCATGAACTTTCCATGTTGCAGAGCTCCAGAATGCTGTAGGATATTACCCGTTTGCACACTTGTCTCAAAAACAAATGAATAAACACCTTCTGCCCTCAAGCCAGCAGTCCAGGTGGTGCTACCTGGAGGCAAATATATCCACATCATAGTTCTGATGGAAAGTGCTTTTTTTTTTTTTTTTTTTTTTTTTTTTTTAATCTTTGGGTTTTTTCCACTTTATATTCAAGGCAGTATAATTCCCAAATTGATAATGATTAATGGTCTGAACAATTCTAAAAGTAAACCTTGAATTGCATGTGAAGACATTGACTAATTATAGCATATTAAGTTGATGTAGACATTCTGTTCCCTTAGTAAGTTGCAATTCATTATATTCTTTCTACCTTAGATCCTACCAAAAACTATGGTGCAGAGAAATATGGACCAAACTCTGTATGTCTTATTCAGAAATCTGCTTTTGTCATGGAACAGTGCAGGAGGAAACTCAGTTACCCCGACTGGGGTAGTGGATGTTATCAAGTAAGTATATGTTGGGTTTTGGTTTGGTTTTTTTTTTAATAAGACTAAAGGGAAAAGTCAGGCATAAAATGTAGACTATGACTGTTAGAACTTTGCACCTGGACACTGTACATGATCTTCTCTGCCTTAAATCACTAGATTACATGTCAGGCTTTGAAAATAAACATCTTCCAACCATAAATCTGTAGTTTAGATCACGTGTCAAGTTAAGCATGTGACCGCTGGGATGGCTTGTGTGTTGCTTCCAGTCTTGCGAAAGATTTCATCTGTCTTACCTCTGTGATGCTTTCTCCAGAGCAAAGTAGGAATGCTTATATTGGAATCTTATGTTGTTGAAGCTTAATGTTAATTAGTTGCTCTGTTTTTTCAAAGGCAGAAAGCACTGTGCACAAATCACTTCTCCTTACCCTCTTCTTCAGGACTATATCACTAAAGGTGTCCCTTTCAACAACAGCACAACTCTCAAGAAGTAGTCATTAGCAGAAGCTGAATTTTGATCGTTCTCAGTTGATGATCTGCATAATTGCACAAAAAGAGTACAGTCAGTGCTTTAAAGCATTCTTGAACAAAATAGTTGCTCTGAGTGCATTAAAATACTTGCAGTTAATCTGTGCTCTAATACTAGGTGTTTACAGAATGTAGTATTTACTTATTGAAAGAGTCTCCAAATCCCCAAACATATTTCTGATAAATTATAATACAGACTTGACTTTCATTCTTTTATTTTAAGGTTTCTTGTTCTCCACAAGGGCTGCATGTTTGGGTCAAGGACACTGCATACCTATGCAGCCGCTCAGGTCAGGTGTTAACTGTGAGCATTCAGATGAATGGCTGGATTCATGTTGGAAATCTGATTTGCCCAGCTTGTTCAGACTTCTGTGACTTCTGTCCCCCAGAGCAGGATCCTCCAGCTTCTAACTTAACAAGAGCTGCACCGATCGGTAGGTTGCCTTATTTGCTGAAGTAAAACTTAATATTAAAAGCCTGAAGACTCTGAAAGATGTGTCAGCTTGGACTGTCAGGGTACAGGAAAGAAGAGCCATGGCCTGGTTGTTCTAAGATCCCAGGCTCAGGAGTTACAGGAGGGTGGCAGAGGTGCCCTGCTTTTTGCTGTGCAGTTGTGCAGGGTAGTGGATAACATAGGAGAAATGTGTCTGAAACATAACTACTTCATGTCATGTCTTCTTCTTGTAATTGCCCAGAAATCTAGCTTCAGCCTAGCAACTTATCAGAAAATTTGATTGGTGTTTTGAAGGCCATATCATTATTACAACATTCATAATAATCTCCTGGGTGGAAAGTGAGTTCTCATTTGTATAACTTCCCATTGACAATGTTAATGCTGTAATCTAGCACATGAAAGATAGGTGTTCGTTTGCTTTTTGAGGGAGGAAAAAAGCTTAATTCACTGACTACCAGTTAATGTTCTGTCAAGAACAGATGGCTTTCTAAAAAGCCAATTGATGAAAGAGAATGGTCTTTACAGTATTTTGCACTAGTGGCTTATTTTTAATCCTTTAACCAATTCTTGAATTGTCAGATGTGCTGTTTCTACTGCAGTTTTCTAGGAAAAAATAAACCTGTTTAGTTTACCTGCATTTTAGAATGAGAAACTGTAACCTAGGAGATTCACATCTTCTACCATCTATTTGAATTCATGCTTGGTGTTTCTTACACACACACACACACGGCTTGGTTTTTTATATTTACAGCCATACAGATCAAAAGTATTAATAAGAGTCTTTTGAGAGTCTATGGTTTTGAGAGTCTATGACTTCCCTCCAGTGATGTCATGGGGAACTTCCTGCTCTTGCAATACCAATAAATCTATTCTCATTTGTTCTCCTACTTGTCATTGGTGAAGGAATGCAGATATTTATTAAATTGTAAAGAGAATAATCATGTTATTTGGTTGGTTTGAATTCCTTGAATAGTCTTTGAATAATCTTGAAAACTAGAATAAATCAGTGTAGATGACTGTAAATATATTTTTGCTCTTTGGTATTTTTTAGTATTCTTTTTGTTATTTTGTCTTCTCTTTAGTTAGAAAATTTATAAGCTTTATGTTGTTTTGTTTTTTATTTTAGACTTATGCTCCTGCTCGTCTAGCCTGGTTGTAACCCTTTGGCTATTGATGGCTAACTTAATTCCCCTGCTAACAGGATTATTTCTCTGCGCATAGAGTTAAGCACGGGGCAGGAAGATGTTCCCAGATGATATACCATCATGTTGCCCTCATTGCACTCCATATTGTGGAGCATGGAGTTTTTTGTCTCTGCAGGCAGCTGTCTTCTGCTGGACCTCATCTCTCCTGGCAAGTATCGGTGCAGACAGTAGTCAGGGAGGTACTGCCAAAACCAGCCAGAGTTTGAGGAGGAAAATTTACCTTGTCATTTTAGTAAGTGCCAGTATTTTCCTGCATTGCAACCTTTAATTTTTGATGGAGTGAGTAACAAGATCCACTAAGCCAGCTGTGTTAGACTACCTGGCTACTCAGTCAAGATTTGAAACGAGAACTCTGCTGAGGGTTGTTTATTTGTTATGTCCTCTGTGTGACTGGTAGCAAAGCATCCTCAAACTGGAAATATACCTCAGTGGTTTAGTCAAAAGCCATGTAAAAATCAGTTGTCATCACTGCTAATAACCCAGGCCTGAACAGGTGTGGGAATTTATTTGGTTTGTCAATTCTTACAATTTATGGATGGAAGAAATAATTTAGTAGGATAGACCAGTGGTTGGCAGTTGTCTCCACAATTCAATTCTTCAGCTTTGAGTCTTCTCAGAATTCATACTAGTTCGCAGTAAAGTGGCTGATTCTTGGGGTTCACTTAAACCTTCCTACATGCACAAAGTGAAATTTCAGACTGGTAACCAAGACAACTGTCTAGAAATCTCATTCTCATTTAGCACGTGCCACTGAAATTTAATATGTCAAATTTCGAATATTCTCAGACTTATTTGCTAGGCAAATGCATTTCAGTACTGACACCCGGTCTGTATAATTGGGATAGGATTTCTGGTTATATTTAATTTTGTTGGTTTGTTTCTTAAATAATGACGTTATTTTTTTAAATAGTATGAACATAAATGCAGCTGCTCTCACTTTTCATTAAAGGACAAACCAGTAGCGATGGCAGCTATAATCTTACAGGACCGCATTGACTTTTCTAGACCAAAAACTATATTGAATGTGGAAAGAAAAATCTAATCTGCCTTTGTTTCTTTTTTGGTTTTCCCCCTTCACTTTTTCTTGGACATATAAATACTATGGATTACTTGAGTATTTGTAATAAGTTGAGAATCAGACATTTTGAACCACACAAGGGCACACCTTGGTACAAAATTAATCACTTGATGGACAAAATGTGTAAGAGGAAGGACATGAGCAAAATCTGTTTAGCTAAGGACAGCTGCTCTATAGGACACTTGTAAGGATGTTTTTATTTGTTTCAGACGCTATAATGCATTACAAATAATCCTATTTGGAGTAAAAAAAACTCTTACGTGGTCCAATCTGTTGTCTGTCCTGTTAGCATAGTTTTTGTTCTTGGAAGAGTGTTAAACTTGAGGGACCAGACGTGCCCAGTGCACTAAAAAAAATGACACTATAGGAAGAAAGATTATATTACTCTGCTTCTTAAATGTGCTGTGGTGTTAGAACTGTCAATGACTAGATCAGTTTCTAAAATGAAAGGTAGGGAGATGGAAGGGGTATGAAGTAAAATTTTTTTAGCTACAATTATACTTGTTTAATAATAGGATTTCCATTGTAATGGTAAGAAAATCTTTGTGCCTACTGGACTTGTGGGTTTTTTATTTAAAGAAACTTACAACACTGCTGAGGTGAGTAAGCTGCAACCTAAACTGTCTGAAGGCATCACGGTTGAGAGAGTACCTTGCACTGGGCTAGTTCCCCTTCTTAACTTCAAGTTAAGTTTGCTTTGAATTATACAAGGCCTAGGCTAGCCTTAAATAGGTGTTTCTGAGAAGCAATACAAATTAGGAATCATATGCTTTAAACATGTACAAGTTTGAATGAAGAAACACTCAAATTAATAAGTGGACACTAATTGTTTTAATATATGCACACTCAATGGTTGGTGTACACTGATTCGTTGAAAACATAAAGGTTTGAGAATACATATTAGGTCATAGAGGTTGATATTGTATTTTTTGTCTGTGTGCAATAATACAGTTTAAATAGTATCACTCAACAACAATGCTTTTGATACTTGAAAAGAAATTATTGGTTATTTTTTCTTACTGTGAAATATTTGCACTGTCTGAACTTTCTGGTTAACTTTATAGCTGTTAAACTTTTTTACTGATGTTAATTTATTGTGCTTGATATTTGATATGCTAGTCTCCTGTCTGTGTAAGTGTGAAATTTGTCATATTTAAGTGAATATTTTTATCTTCTACACAGTTGTTTATCTTGAGGGCTTTTTTTCTTTTATTCTCTCTTCCTGAGAATTAACTGAAAGATGGCTTCAAAAGTCTATGCTTACCTACTTTGGAATTGTATGCATTAATTAAAGAAAGAGGCTGTAGCATATTGTACCTGCAGGGAAAAATCTATCTGCCTGTCAGAGCTCTTGTGGTCAGATTCACCTAGTACCTGCTGAGTAGCTGCATCAGTGAATCCAGTGAAGTAAAACTATTATTGCCTTAATACTCTGAGATTTCAGTTGTAATTTCTTTGACGTGCAGCCATTCAACTGGCTGTGAATTGCAGAACTGGACGTGACTTTGGGGAGTCGGGGAGGGAAGGTACTTGAGCAGGCAAAATCCACCGTGTTGTATCCTGTCAGTGTGTTAGGAGCTGTAGCTGTGTTGGAACTGCCAAGAAATGTGTCAAGTTCAGTTTAAAATGAGAGTGAATTTGTGACTGTCAAAAAGAATATGTGAGTAAAACTGACTACCTCAGTTCTGTTTGTCTTCTGTTCTAGCCTGCTGTGAAATTCCAAATCTCTCAAGAAGAATTAAGTAAAAACATGTCTCAGGTTTTTAAGAGCAAAACAAATACAGTAGGAAGCATAAGCCATTTTTGAGTGTAGAACATAGCTAAAATTGTAGCTTAAACCAATCAGTTATGTAGCCTTAAGTGTAGTTCCCCCGTAAAAGTCAGTATTGGTTTTAAATAAAAAGTTTGCAGGCAGCTGCTTCAGGTGTCCTGACCATATTGTGGCAGGTCCACCCTATTTCATCTCTTACATGTGGAAACTTGGAAATATAGCCCAAATAAGTGTCTGTGTTTTCACCAGAGCAGATAGGGCAGCAGGAGCCCTGGAAATAGTGCTGAGATAAATGAGTTAGCTTGTCTGTAGCAGAAACATTTTCAGTATATAATGTCAACAGTTTTAATTTTTTTAAAAACATTTCATGTTTGCTTATGGAAGTAAATTAGTCTTGCGGTCTGTTTTTTACCCCAGCTGTTCAAATCTTACAGCGTTTCAATTAGAAATCGAGGCAAGTCACGCTTTAGGAACACGTATTTCAAGTGTATCAAACAATTACAAGGAGGAAGGATAGCTTTCGGCTGGAGCGTGCAGCAAGTGAAATTACAGCGAAAAGCAGGTTCTTCGTTCCCCTTGAAATTAGGTGAGGTCTTGGGAGGCTGTCATGGCCTTGGATGTAGGTTAATTACCAAAACAGAATTTTGACCCCCAATAATTGACTGTCAGTCCAATGCAGCTCTTCTTCTGAGCACAAGTAAATTAGGAAAACTGATGTCACTTAAGCAGACATATTCGCAGTCCCTTACAAGGGCCTGTTGTTTTTAAACCTCCCTGTCCTGCAAATCTTTCTGCTCGAATGTATTTCAGTAGAGAGGGGGGCATGTGTCCTTTCTCCCCATGTTTCCTAGGAGTGACTTTCAGCCAGCTGAGCAGGTCAAAGTCTGTCCCCTGCAAGATAGAACAACCAGCTTTTGCTCGGCTGAATGCGTGGGTGCCTGCTTGCATGGGTCAAGCTTCAGGATGTGGGTCTACTTGTACACTAAATATTGTGATCTTACGCTACCGGACTTCCAAAGTGCAAATGTTGCCTTTTTAATGTGAAGCTTACCTTGGAGATAAAACAACTGTTTTGAGAGAACTGGCTGACCTTGAACATGTGTTTCCTGTTTTGGTACAGAATATAAATACAGAACAAACTATTTTACATAGATTTTGACTGGATCGAGATATAAGGGCTAATTTTTTGTTATTTACGGAGAAAAAATTTCCTTATTTTAATGTGTAAAAAAAAAAAAAGTATGTCATACAAAAGAAGAAAAAACTGTTCATCAATAAAATGTCTGTAGAAAATTGACTCTTGTCCTTTTCTTTGAGAGCTGACACTCAGTTACTAACCCTGCGAATAAGCGCAATAAAGGACCACCGTTACCAGTCTTTTTTTGTTAAGAATTTTGAAAAATTAAACTAGTCATCTGCATATTGATCACTTTATTAAACTGTTAATTGATACACTTTGAATGTAAAACGTTCTGTGTTGTTATTAGCTCATACAGGACTTATCAGGAGTTCAGCCTGCCAGTGAAGTAAGGAGGTTTCTGAATTCTCTATCCCATCCTCATATATTTCATACTTTAAAATTATGCAATATTTAAGTCTTTTTCCACTTGAAATGGAGGGCCATATTTCCCCATTTCCTGTAAAGGATTTGGCCCCATGATTCCCATTTCAGCAAAAGGAATGTTGGCGTTGCCCTGCGGAGCCCTCTTCAGCAGAGACCAGTGGTGCTGAAGCCACTCTTTCTGGTACCCAAGACAGCTTTGCTAGCTCTGAGACCGAGATTTTTACAATATATTTATAATTACATTTTTTAATATATATTACTCTGATAAATGTGAAAGACAATCACATTCCTCTAAAACAGAGTGTGGAGACAGTTTTATAATGTAGTTTCCCCCCTTCCCCAAGCAATATGTCAGCAAATACATAGATTAAAAAAACCCCACTTGTCTTCCTCTGCTATTTTGGAAAATCAGATAAAGCAATGCAAAAGTAGGTTACTCTTCCTTTTTGTTTGCCTTGTCTCAAAATAGGAGTCTTTCAAAAGGGTATTAAAGCTTATAAAATGTGCCACTGTTAATTTCATAGTTGGCTTTAACTCTGAAAAACATCAGGTATGTAAAGTTACCCGAGTACAGCTATAAGGTTTAAAAACTTTCATGTTTTGAAAATAAATGCCATTGGTAGCAAAATAAAAAAAACCTGGCACATGAACCAGTTTGTGTTTAAAATTCACAAGTAGGCAGAGATCTCTCTCTTCTGGAGTGTAAGATGTGTTGCTTAAACTACAGCAGGATCAAGGTGTTAGTCTGCAGCCTGGAAAGATGGCGTGGGGAGCTACACTGGTGTCAGTCCAGTGGAGTTTCCCAGTGGAGTTAAAATGCAGCCCAGTTTCAAATGCAATTTTACAGGATTTCTGTGCGTCTACAGCGGTCCTTTTCATGCATGTATAAAAAGTCAAATATTACAGAGGGTTTTTCATTTTTTGTTACATCCTCAAAATAACAGCATCGCGCAAGCTGAAGCCAAGTTGTGCATACATCCTCCTTGTCAGCCTCCAGTTCTGCCCTCTCAGCTAGTACCAATTAATGACTATGACTTGCTGAGAAATCCCGATGTTAACATAAATGTAGTTGGTTGTTCCAATTTTTTTTTCAGTATTTCAGTGGGATACAGTAAGTTTAACAAAGATCATGCTACTACTGAGGATTTCCAGTGTCCTGAATTTGAAACAAATAATCCACCTACCCCCCCCCCTTCCTTCTCCTTCCCTCTACCCGTGAAACTGTTTTATTTATACATCTGCTGAGCACTCCTGTGTGTCACAGAAACAATACCTATTTTTCTGAAGAGGCTTATACTGAGAAACAAAATCAAGGAAGGACTAAATATCAAAAAATACATAAAAGTTATTTGTGTTTGAGGGAAATTATGGAAACCCAACATTTGCCCTGGTGATTGCATCTTCTTACTGTCAGACTTTCCTTTTTTCACTATAATTTTTCTGTTTGGATGAATTCAGTTTTTCTGCATCTTGTGCTGTTCTGTAAAAAATGTTAGTAGGCAAAATGTTGAGGTTCACGTGCTAAATTACAAGAGGAACTGTTTTCAATCAGCTAGAAAGTAGTTCTAGGGAAATGTCCACATCACTAACTCAAATCAATGATTGTTAAATTTTACATTCGTTTCCTGTTCCTTGGGTATAATGTTGAAATTAAAGGCAGTTTTTTTACCCCCAGAATGAGGGTACTGAAATACATTCTTTGTTGCTTTTACAGCAAGCACTATCACACAACCTGTTTCTCTATTTGCCATGGAGTGGACTGAAGTCCTGGGAAGATGAGAACGTAACCAGGTGAGGAAGGGGATCTCTAAATGTGCTCTGGGTGGTTCTGCAGGCACGCGATGAAATCCTGGATCGATTGACCCTCGTAGCAGATCTTGTAGATGGTTGTAAATAATGGAAACCTAAAAGAAGCACGCGGCAATGAAAATAGTTTTTAAAGTTTATATAAACATTTCTATTCCATTTCTAATTTTAAAAAATTCTTTTAAAAAATTACATTAAAAAGAAAGTAGAAAATTTTTCTCTTTGCAATGTAATTTTAACTTGGAGGTGCGTTTACGGGGAGACTATACAGGACAGTTAAGAGGAGCTAAGGGCAGTTCTTGGGGGTGACAGCAGAGAAGAGCTGTTCTGAAGACAAAATTCCTATCCAGTATTTTTTACATACAAAAAATCTTGAATTGTGTATCCTCTTTTTTCTCCTGTGTGCAAAATGCATATCTTATTTGCTTTCATTACTCATATCTGAAAGACTGAAAAGAATTAAAACATCTAATGATTTTCTTTTCCTGGCTTAAAGGGTTCTTTCCCTTTTGCAAGCTATCTTAGTGGTTATGTGGTTAAAAAGTCCACTGAATGACTTGGATTTGAGTTTGTATCTAAGTGCAATTATAGGATACTTATTAAATCAAGTTTTGATTTAAAGTTTACATCCTGTCGAAATGATCTTTTCTCTCTCATTCTTGAAAGATAATGGTACTCAAATCTTCTGTATCTGTTATAATTCTAATAGGGTTTTTTTTTAAGTGTTTATTTAGCGGTGTTTGACCTGTTAATGTACAAGAGGGAATAAGATGGACAGAAATTTAATTTTTCTATTGTGTAATCTGAGACAAAGGTTTCAAATTATAAATAATCTTACATCATTCCAAGCAATTAGAAGTACTTTTTATCTCAGCATTATTTGTGGCACTAAAGCATTGATATCAGCACATATAGTTATTCAAGGTGTATAAAAATTTTTAAATCCTTAATTTTATACTGAGATAACCTAGTTAATGTTTGCGCTGAGAGCAGTATTGCTGCAAGCTGTAACAGTGATATACTGAGAACAAGAAACCCTTTGACCCATAGATCATGTTTGCAAGCTGACTCTGTGTACGGCCTTCAATCTTGTTTAGGGGGACGGGGATGTCTGGGTAGCTTCTCCAGATTGTTATTTCTTTTGTTTCCTATATGTCTGTGGCTTGTTTATTTTAACACATTCATCACATTCTGCTGACCATGAGGAGTCAGACTAAGCTGAGCTCTAATGGTGGCCCAAGATGTAGAAGGCAGTTGTTATGGAAACAAACAAGATAATTAAACACAGGTAATCTTATGTTTACTTAAACAATCTTTTGTTGTTGATTATGCTGTTTTCAAACAAAAGCACTTACTTATCGAGCATATTTTTCTGTTTCAGGATCTTGTGGACTTCGGCTGAGGTCTGAGGACCTTGCAGCTTTTGTCCATTCAGCATCTCGTTTTCCAGTTCCTCAATGGACTAGAAGAGAGGAGACCGGTTACTTGGATCAGAGGGAATACTCCTGTGATACCAGCAGTTATCAAGAAGGTAAGCAGGTAAGGATGCCTTTGAAAAACACAGAAGGATTTCTTAATGTGTTAGTGTAGAATATTTCAAAAATCCTCCTTACTTTTCCTGTGCGTGCAAAGGCCTCTGCTACTTTCCTGTTGCGTCCCCCGTAGCAGGTGGTGATTAGATCAGCAACCCCACAGCTTTCCAAAAAAGTGGCTATTGAGACTGGTCCCCTGCAGAACATCTTGGCAAAGGCCACCATTTCCATAAGGCCCAAGCGTATAACTGCTGCCTTTGTATTATCGCCAAAATCCAGCCCATCGCAGAACCCAGCTCCCACTGCTACGATGTTCTGCAAACAGTTTAGTGTGGAACATAGAGGAGGAGAGGAAATGGTCAGGCAAGATGTGGTTCATCAGTGTGCACTGAGCTTTAAGAAAATCCTACAAATCTGTCTTCACCCCGTTCACCAGAAGAAGGTTCAAATTCCCACGGCCATGAGTTTATGTTATGAAGAAGGTAGACAGCTAATTACTGCTGAACAAAAGCAGTTGGGCTTCTAGAAGATTGTTATAAACTATCCTCTGTTATCCCCATGGGAAAAGATCAAAATTGTTTAATATAGTAATATTGCAATCACATACTGTGTATGTAATAATTAATGTTTTGGTTTTCTGCTAGTTCCAAGTTGGGGCTCTCTGTCCTTTCTGTTTTATTATTCAAAATATCCCACGCGGAGTCATGCCTTTCCAGGTTTTCTCTGTGGGTCTCTAATTTAAACAGTCATGAGTTCTATGCACTGCAGTAGATCAAATTTTGGTTTTGCCTGCAAAAATGGTCAGTAGAATTGCCCTTTTCTACAGCTCTAAACAAAATTCTCAGGATCCTAAACATCTTCACAGCTCCTCGCCATTGTCCTGCACGTCTCCCTTCCCACCTCCCAATTCCCAGCCCCTAAGTCAGTCCCTAGTGTAGTTCACTGTATATGGGTAATATGTCACCTAGTACTGCCATTGGAGCGTTTGCTTCAGACATGCATGTGCCCCAGTGCAGATTTTACTTTTTTTTAGCAAAGGCAATGCTAAAGTAATGATTTTCAGAAAAGCAAAGATTTCCCACAGAGCAGAAATAACCTCTCTCCCCTCTATGCCTGCCCTCAGTTCATCTGTGGCCAAAAGCAAAATCCGGGGGTATTTGGTTTTGTATGTAAATAAACTTTTCTTTTTGTATGTAAGGTTAAACATGACCAATTCTTTCCAAGTCAGTAATCCCCTCTTCCCCAAGGAAAGGTGAATCATTGAAGAACAGATGACTGAATATATAAAAAAGTACCATGGATCACAGGCTGGAGTTGCTTTCAGCACATTTAAAAACAATCTCCAAATCTCACTCAAGTGCACTCTCATTGGAAACTTGGTGATTTTTGGTATTGCTCTGATCCAGTCTGGGATCTCGACACGGGCATCACTGAGCGCGGCACAGACATGCTGCCAACACAGAGCATCACTTCTCATGCAAACTTTCTAGCAGGTTACTACTTGAACTGTGGAAAGAAGTTGTAAGGAGGGACTGCTGTATATAGTAAAAGTCTTTGTTCCCTGTGCTTGCAATGCGCAGACAAGAAAATAGAGTGGACTAAATTTTGCCCTCAGAAGCAGAGGTGCTTCTGGTTAAATAAAGATAAAAATACAACTATTTTGAAATGCTTTGCCAGCAGTTATATTTTAAAGTAATTTTTCCCCTTTTAACGGATTGGAAAATTGTCACACGAACATCTTGTCTGTGTTCACTCATCATAATGTGGCAGGACTCATACTAGACCCTGTGGCTTATGGAAGACTCAGGTGAGGGTAGAACTTGGCTCTAAAGACAACATTTTGGTTGAAAACCACTCACTTTTAATGCTCCACAAATCTCCACTGTATCAGAGTCAAGCACCACGGTAATTCTGAAATTGGGGGTCTGCATTAATTCTTTAAAGATCTCCCCTTGTTTTTCATTTTTGCACCCTGTGGGAAGGAAGGGTGAAAGTTAGAGCATTTTCGCAATGTTTCAGAGTACACACAATTAACTGAAACCTGAAATAAGGTCCCAGGGAACCCTTTACTGGGACCACAAAAACCTAAGTCGGTGTTGCTAAACAAGAGATCTGTGTGACAGCAGTTCCTGCTGTTGGAAGCCAGTGTTAAACATATGCAAGTCACAGGGCATTGACCACGCATTGCTGAATAACAGAAGAGCTTATAAGTAGATAGCCCCTAACGCAGCTTTCTGCCTGAGAAAGCTTGTATAACCACAAACCCTGCAAAAGATGGATCTGATCCTGCCAGCACCAACTTCCCTGAATATCACGCTGCCTCCCTGAACGGGCTCAGCGGGCGCTGCACCCACCACACCACTCAGGACCCATCACATGCCCCTGATTCCTCCAGTCACCGGCAAAGTTAAACCACAGCTAGCGGCTTTAATTTGCTCTTTGCAATAGTTACCAATGGTGGTTTCACAGAACTTCTCATCAGCCACTTCTTTGGCTATGTTGGCCCCCATAAGCACACTGATTTCTATTTTCAGTTTCTCTCGAATGAGGTCAGATATGAGCTTCAGGCCATCAGGACCCTCATCGATCCCCTGAATAAAAGACGATAATCAAAGCCAAGTTATTAGAACAGGAAAGTGACAGCAGTAGAGCACTGGTAAAGCAGGTGTCCTATTGCCTGCAGCTCTCTGGTTTTAATTGGAAGGATTTGGGTCGTACATTCACTAGTATTAGCCATTAATACAAATGCTCTGGGTTTGTACTTTGATAACAGCAAATTTAAGACAAGTTCAGCGAGAAGGTAGCAACGGTCAAGGTAACCCTGCAAGAGGCCCCATGTCCAGTACTGCTGTCCTGAGGCCTTCTTTGATGATGTATCTTTACTTTGTGTTAAATTTCTGTACTACAGAACAAGACTTCTGAATTAAGCCTACAGCAGTGGCTTTTCTGCAAGATCTAAGAATTAATCCGAGTGTTTCATTGGTATTAAGGAGTATCCTGCACTGTCCTGGGTTTTTTTTAAGTTCAAGAAAGAAGTAAATTTGCAGGAATTTCCTTCCTCTCCTACTCTCCTCTCCCCTGTGTACTGCTGCTTGTGAGATAATTTCTATAGGGAAAAAAAGGGCAGAAAAGAGCTGCTATTGCAGCAAGAAAAATTGAATTACATTTCTTTCATTATGATTTTAAATTGGATATTTCCTGTAATTCAATCAAAAGAAGAAGTGGTAGACTATATTGGTAGACTATATTCCTATGTTTTGCCTCTGGCTTTTAGTTTGAGATTCTCTTAAAATATTAATTCTTTTTAAGATTATGATAACCTGGTACCTCTAACCTTAAAAAGAGATTCCTCAGTTCATGCCAGATTGAAGTTGTTTCAGTTCTGCAAATTCACTAATGTGCCATTTTAATGCTGCCAGGAACAGCTTTAGCATGTACTTGGAAGAGGCACTTCAACTCAGTGCTCTTTCCAGTTAAGAGTTAATTGGGGCTGTAGTCTGGTAAGTACTTTTTCCAGTAGCAGCACCAATTTATGTAGCCCTTCCTCTGCCCATTTTCACCTCCATGCTGGTCCAAGTGGAAACTGATCCAAGCTGAAGACAGTTACTCTGAAGCCTGGCTGTGTTGCCCCATCCTTTCCCCTCCACGGCCATGTGAGCAGCAGAAGGGCTGTCAGAGGCTGGGTAAGTTTTAACTCTTGCAGAAATGCTTGTGTTTATGCAGAGCTCCTACCCTTAAATTGAAGCTATTTATTTACTCTGTACAGATTGAGTCTTGTGGAGATGACAATTTACCTTGATCAGTGAAATTCCAAATGTCCCAGGTTTTATCTGGCCTGCGATCTGCTCACAGATTCGTCCAACAAATTGATGTGGCAGAACAAACACTAAAATATCTGCTCCATTTGCTGCTTCGACCACATCTGGTACAGCTACCTGGGACAAGAGTGACAACAGAAATGAGCCCCAGGTAGGAGTCCTCACACCTTGCAAGATACCAGTATGCCAAAGCCATTGAAGATATGCTACAAATGTCCATCAATTTTTCATAATTTTGCTTTTAACTTGCCTCCCATCCCAGCACTGTGTGCATAATCTGGGGAATACGATTTGCTTTCTAAACTTGTACTGTCCTGGGAAGACTCTTTGCTGGTTCCGCTTCTTCAGGTAGTTCCTGAAGGTACTGAGCAACCCCATATGGTTCTGCTGGAATGAGTGGTTGCAGCAGGGAGCAGGGGAACGAAGCAAGGTGACGAGACAGAACCTTTTCTGGCAGTCTTTAGTTTCCATAGGTCACCGTCTGAGAGCTATTCAGGAATAAACTATATCAAAAGGCAGACATTATTATATTTGGGGTGGGATGGGTTGTTTGTTTTAAATATATAGTAATGACCAATAGCTAGAAAAAATTTCCCAACATGCTTAATAAGTTCTAAAGCTGTATCTTACAGCAAGCTATATCTTCTCCAAGTGCTAGTGTTACTCAGAACAATTCAAGCCAGGCTGCAGAGGCAACGGCAGACGAATTTGAGCCTGCTGTCCCCAGCAGTTACAGAGCAAACATCGCCTTGGAGCACAGCCTGAGAGCAAGTGGGATTCACTGCGGGAGAACCAGAACTGCTGCCAGCAAGGCTGCTTCTCTGGGAAAATGGAAAGCGGGAGCAGAGGCTGGCAGTCCTGTACAGGCAGTGCTCCTCTCTCTCAAAAATGTTGCAGAGCAATGCAAGGAAAAAAATAGATTTTTTTTTTTTTTTTTTTTTTTTTTCAGTTGCAGATGAAGGTATCAGGGTCCCTGCAGGCTTTACTGCAACCAGATGGTTTCTGCTGGTAAAGCCTCAGACTTTGCTATAGACAGGATGAGGCTGATCTCAAGTGATGATGACAAGCCTGTTGATCTGCTACAGGGTTGTAAAAATAACAGTGACAAGTCAGTTGTAACCCAGGAGAGCTGTGTGCCAAGTTCAAACCATGGGAGTGCAAATATGCAGTTGCAGCATGAAATGGAGTACTAAATATAATCATCAGCAAGAAGACCCATCATGTTCAGTGTCTTAAACTTCCTTTTACAACTGCAACTGTTCCAGAAACATGGCGCTACTTTCTTCTATTCACAAAGCAGTGGCATTTGGCAAAATCTTGTCCAGCCAAAACCCTCACCTTGCTTGCTTCAGTAGCAGTAAATTATCCAAGCTGATTAATTTAAGTAGAGATGCATAACTTATTTTAAATGTTCATGAAAATTAAATACCTTACCTTTTTGGTAGAATTTACAGCATTATTAATTATAGCAATGTGTTGCTATCCTGAAATCACCCATGAGCCAATAGCTCATTATTCATCTCGTCAGCCACAGCTGTTAGCTGTGCTATTGTTTTCATTTTTAGAAGAAGGGAGAGCAGTAGCTTTCCCTTTTTATCCAGAAGATGCTGTGGGTTTAAATTACTTCAGCTCTACGTAGACAGATCTCTGCCTGCCATTTCTAGAGTTATGCTGATTTCTGCCAGAGAGGAGTATGGTGCGTTACCAGCACCTGACACAGTTGGGTGTTTGAGGTTGTGTATGACATATGAGACAAGCAGAAGTCACAGAAGTGAGTTATATTTCAGTGAGTTATATGTCAATATTGGAATGAGTTAGGTGGCAAACCAGAATGAAGCAGTGAATTGCTTCCTAGTTTTAATTTTGACAGATGTTGCTTCCCTCATTAAAAAAAAAAAAAAAAAGTTAATTTTTTTTTTTAAACTTACCACATTTTTGGGTATCTTGTATCCAGGCAGATATTTAACATTTTCATGTTCCTGGTTGATTATTTCTGAGAGTTTTCTTCCATTGATGATCTCTTCAAATACCCACATCTTAACAATAGGATCAAATCTGTTAGACTTCTGGACATTTTTGCCAATGATTCTTGCTATGGCTGATCCCCTTTATAAAGAAAAAAATCGAAGTAACTATTAGGAAACAAACAGTTTTATTGTGAATTAGAAATACAAGTTACTTTAAGCATAATAACTTACAAAAGGCCTGTGCTATAAAGGTGTTCAGGTGCTTGCTACATTTATCAGGAAGCTTTATCCACTACCTTCATCAAAAACCTGTCACACCACAGAAAGTAGAACTAGAGAAAACATAACTGTAATAAGAGATGTGAAGTCAGACCAAAGATTGTAGAGTGGGAGTGTGATGTACCATCAACAGAACTAAAAATACAGTATCTGGAATTAGAATCTCTCTTACTCCTCAGATAATTCTTTTTTTTTTTTTTTTCTGAAGGCCAACAAATGTTAAATAATCCAGGTGGTAAAGTAGTGCTGAATGATCTTGCTGTGACAGTCTGTGCATCTCATCTAAAACAGATGCATCCCACTTTCCCACCAATAACCAAACAGTTGCAATAAAGATTTTATATGAACTAAATCCCCAGAAATTATTGTCTTAAAAAACAAAAAAACCCAACAAAACAACAAACAACAAAATCTTCAACCTGATGGTCTCTTTATTTATTGTTCTAATTATCACTGTAACCAGATCTGTAATGGTTGCATCCTGAGGCTATTTTAACTGTCCAGTTTACTCTTCTTCTGACATGCTGAGCATCTTTTAATCTCAGTTCAGACAATAATTTTATTTCCCCATCACCACTGCAGCCTTGCAAACATTCACTTATTTTCTTGGCAAGAGAGGATTAAAAACCCTGCAGAAAATATTGGAAGTATTGCTTAAAGTTCTTAAATTATAAGAGGGGTGTGTGTGATTTTTTTTTTTAACTCCTCTCTTCTGTCTTTCCATTTTAATGCTACTTTAATCTTCCAAGCACTGGCCATTTTACTAACACAACTGAAAGAGGAGCTCCAGCTGCAACGCTCTTGTCCTCTGGCCCACCTGTAACACACCTGCAATAAGAAGCATGAACAGAGTTTAGCTGTGGTATGTTTTCAGGAACAGATAAAGGTCTTGAGTATATCCAAGATAAAGTCCAGGTAGTCTGTGCTGTCAGGAGTTCAAAGGGAAACCATGTTGTAACTGGCTCTCCTTGGCTCAATCATATTTTTAACGTGACAGGTTTGCACAAGGCTGAATTGCTCAGTAAGTAATAAAAGAATAAGGGCTTCATCTTAATCTTTAATGATAAAGAAATCCTACGGAGATCAGGTTTCACTTGCTCAGTGTGACTATATGCTGTATCCTGAGCTGCCATAATGCTTTTTGGGGGGGTTTTTTGGTGTTGGTTTGGGGGACTTTTGTTGTTGTTGTTGTGATTGTGTTTGTTTTTCTGTTGTGGTTTTGTTTGTTTTTTTTTTAAAGGGCAGATTGGTTTTGGTTCTTTAAAATATTTAGGGAAATGTTTTAGGGGTGAATCTTTACTGTGAGTTCTGCTTTTTTGAAAGAAAGGCATGTAGTCATACTGTAAATTCATGTTATTTATAAAATTACTTATATTCTGGTTCTCTTGCCCTGCTGTCAAGAGAGCACAATCAAGGCTTTTGCTGAGGATGAATTGTGGCTCCACACAAGAAATCTGTATTAATAAGAAAAATCTTTTTTTTTAATTGATAAACTTGACATCTAAATTAATTGGCCAGGTAGTGCTGGTGTCTCCAGCACAACCCAGATGATGAACTTAGACCTCAAGCCTATCCATAAAAATAACTTTTCTAGCTATGTACCAAGTTCAAATGATTTTCTGTTTAAAGATGCAGACTCCAGCTCTAACCTCTGAAATCCTGAATGGGACTTGCAACTCTCAGCAGGTAAATCTGATCTTCCAGCAGAGCTGTCATTACCATCGTGCTTGGATGTTACCACCCAAGTATTGTCCTATTGACAAGATATCTGTGAAGGTATCTCAGACATAAAGGTAGCTCCATAAATAGTAGTTGTTTTTTTTGTTTCTCTTCAGATGAATGAAGATTGGAGGAGAAAGGCTTTAACATTTAAGACATTGAACAGTCATCAGGGAAAATAACTTGTCACAAAACTATCAAACGGTTTAAAACCTGATGCTTTGTTTTACTCAGTCCATTTAAAATTTGGTTACCGCTGATCAGCCTTGGGAAGAAGAATTGCTTTGTTTGTGAAGGCAGTGTTCAGTAGACTACACAGACTTGGCAGAAGAGGGCTGCTTATGCAAACAAAGCCAAGGATGCTCACATATAAAGGCTTTGCCGTGGTTTTATTTTCTCCAAAACTCAATTCAGTGAAGATTAATAGAAGGCAGAGAACTCCATTTAGATAATTTTTAAAAATAAGTGAAAACTGCCAATCAGGTTTTTTCCCCCCAATTATGTTAATTCATGATGGAAGTGATTTACATAATGCTAAGAAAAAGAAAGCTTTTATCTGGAGATTTTCTCTCAGTATAATGAGGAAGCTTTGATGTAGAATAACTCAAATAAGACCCATTATTTACATATGTGAATATGAAAGTGTTTGTGGCATACATCAGATCTGGTGAAAAATAGAGCCTAATGGACCCCATGAAGCAGTTAGTCCCTTCCCTAGACAAAGCGTAGTCAAATATGCTGTTCCTAATAGTTTTTTGGAGGAGGCCTTAAAGAGCTCAGCAGTTGCAGGTCTCTTACCTTTCCCAACGAGCCCATCCCAGGACTTCACCATCCTTAGCATTAGAAAGATCATCCTCATATTTAACCTAAGTCTTTCTTACTGCAGTTTAAGCCTATTTCTACTCTAGAAGGGTGGAATACTGCTTTTATCCTTCAGATTCTTAAAGATTATCCTGTCTTCCTCCAGACTCTTTCTTAGCCAACCACCCCAATTTTTTTAAATTATAGTATTGCTCAGGCAGGAAGGGACCATAAGAGGTCTCCAAAGTGAGAACCCCACTGAGTTCAGGATGGGTTGCTCAGAGGTTTGTTTAGTCGAGTCTTGAAAAATCTCCAAGAACCACCTCCTCTCTGGGCAACCTGCCCCAATGCTTTATTATTCTCAGAAGGTTGGGTTTTTTTCTCCTCTCTTCACATATTGAGTCAGAACCTCCTCTGGTTCAATTTATGACCACTGTCTCTTGTTTTCCTTCTGTGCACCTCCATAAAAAGCCTGGCCATCTGTCCATGTTGCAGACAAGAATCTAGTTCAAGCTGGATCTTTGCTGAAGACTCTACAGTCCAAATTAATGTAAGAAGGTTGGGATAACTTTTGGTTTCAGAAGGGCCGGGCAGTGAATTAAACTTATATTTTTAAAAACAGGTAACTGAACCATGATTAATGTAAACACAAACCCTCCTGCACCTGGCTGGCAACCACAAAATACAGCGCAGCACTTCCCCTAACCACAGTCTCCTAGCAGTGTTGACTTAGTAAGTTCCTGTGACCTGCTGAACTTCTGCAGCTGATATGAGGTATTGCAACATGCTGTGTCACGTGTCAACCACGTTTCTGAGCTCCAGGAAAGACTCAAGAGCAGTGATGTGAACTGTCACCCAAATATTCTGGAGGAAAATAAGAAAAAAAATATTTGCCAGAGATAAACATTTTATTTCTATGTTGTGCTAAGACAACCTGTTCTGCCACAGAGGCTATGAATAGATGTGATTTAAACATCAGAGCACAATGTTTAGCTCCTCCCCAAGGATTTTACAGCCTATATATATGGTGGGAAGCAAGAGATGGGCCCAGGCAGACAGGCAGTGTGAGTAAAGATAGTATTGAATGAGCTGGGGTCTCTGTATCTCTGTGGCATAACTCTTCCCAAGTTTGTAGGTACACGTGAAAAAAAGAAAACTTTCTCGAGTACAGATCTGAAGGAAGACAACTAAGTGGCTTTGGAGAATGTCTTATAGCAAGGGGATGGCCTGGGGAAAGGCAGGAGGCACTTGCTTGAGGATGCAGCAAGGGGATGATGAAGGCTGTCACTGTGTGCTGACCAGAGGTAACAGCTGAGTCCCAGACGTGCAGCCGTGGCTGCTGAGGGGCTTGGAAGTCACAATGAGCTGGCTGCGCAGGCTTGGATGCCTGTGGTTAAGGTGGGGGAGAAGAGGGTGGCAGGGGAGGGATGCAAGCACTGGAATGCCATGTTGATGTTACCATAAAAGCCGGCAGAGGAAGTCTCTAAGACTCATTTTGGAGCTTTAGAAAGCAGGTATTCTTTATTGCAGCACTGGGTGCCACACACAAGTAGGTGAGCAAAGGTGAGCAAAGGTGAGCGTGCTCCAAATCTGTAAGTTGCAGCTAATGTACAGTGAGATTATACATATTCATAACTTTTCTGAGAAATGAGTTACATAGGCATTAGATTTCCTGGAACTGACCACAATATCTGCATCCTAATTACACATGCACTTTCTTGCTGGGTGGTGGTCTCAAGGGGTCCCTGGTGGCCATTGGTAGTCTTCCTCGCTGAGCCTGCTGGTTGACCCCAGTGCTCACACATGCTCACAAAGGTCTGTTTAGGAGGTGTTGTGCAGCTGTGTTGTGTCTTGAGCTTGTTTGTTTTAATTTGTCCCAACCTTGTTCTTGCTACCTTCAAGAATAGGCCCCAACTATCTTGTTTATTACTGTATTATCTTCAAACCCCTTTCTTCTTCTTCACAAAAGCACCAACCTTCAGCTGTGTCTGCACATTCTGGATGCTACATTGACATTGACCTACTTTATTCTCAGTAAAAAAATATTTAGCAAGACGAAGAGGAAGAAAAAAAACTGTTATCAAGACATTTTGGCTTATGGTGAACATGGCAGTTGAGGAAACGCTGGTGCAGAAATGATGGAGCAGGACTGGGTCTGTCAGGGCCAGAGAAAGCCAGATGCATGATGAGGAGTTCCTGAAGAAGGCTCAGCTGTGCAGTTTCATGTGAAAGGCCATACCTGAGAGATGTGAGAGCCTGGGGTCTGGAAGAGCGTGCATGTGGGGGCTCGGAAAGCAGTGGACTGTTTTTCCTTGCCCCGAGGGGCTGCCCCACG